TCAAGCTCGCAGCGGATCGAGAGACCCCTTCCTGCTCGGCCATTCTCGCCGCTTCACGCCGCCTTCACTCCTGCAGCAGTGACGGTCTCCGGTTCCCTGCCGCTATCCGGCGATATAAAAGAGCAAATTTCAGAGCAAATTTTCGGCGTTGTTTCAAATGCCGCACCGTTACTGTCGCTCATGCAGGGCCCCCCTGCACGCCGCTGACGGTCACGGCGAGTGTGTTTCATGCTTGGGCGCCGCCTACGCTGAAGCAGCACTCATTGAGACGGAATGTCCTCATTGCGAGGATATGAGGCTCGCCTCTCTGCGCTCATGGAAAGCTTTCTTTTCAGAGAGAGCGACTCCGCCCCTCGCACCCTCCCGCTTTCTTCCTCCCAGGAGCCTGTGAGGAAAAAGCAGCGGGACAAAGAGACTCAGCGCTCGGTGACGAGTGAGCCCACGCCGGCTGAGCCCCCGCGTGCCTCACTCTCTCTGCTTAGAGAGGTTTCTCCAGTCCACTTCTCCCTCCCAGACCAGCGTCCCTCTGCGGCTGCGAGCGATCTGGTCTCATTTGGAGGAAGCGACGTGCTATGTAGCTGCAGTCGAAGTAACCTGAGGATCCTATGGCGATGTGCCGCTTATATAGCCAGATGACCCCGCCCATTCTGGCGGGCTTTGGCAGGCTTTACCGCCATAGCCTCATGCAGCTCCGCTGCCGAGCCATTGGTTCGTTTTTTATTCACTGCACGAACCAATGGCCGTGCAGTTACACTGCGTTATTGAAAGGCTTCAGTCATCGGAGAAAAAGGAGTTTTCCCCCAAAGCGTCTTAAACAGATGCAGTACTCGTTCCATATCGAGTTTTCTCTTGTTTTTGTCTCTTGTTGCTTCCTTGGCAATGTCTGCATTATAGATGAACAGATTTGTGAGAGATTCTCTTTTGAGAAGGCGGCTACAACTTTGTTGTTGTAGATAAACTATAGCGACTCTGAGATCACAAGAAAACACATTTAGTTATATTTAGAACTTGAGAAGACAAGAAAGATAAATGAATGCATGGCCTGTTCTAAAGTATAATGCAATAACATCATAGACTTTGTAAGTGTGTACAAGTTAAATGTTTTATGTTCAAACTTCTGTTCAAAAGTTTGGGATCAGTAAGATTATTTTTAAAGAAATTAATAGATTTGTCAGCAATGAAGCATTAAACTGATCCAAAGTAACTTTAAAGATATTTATAATGCAAAGATTTCTATTTTAAAATAATTGTTGTTTTGAACTTTCTATTCAAAGAATTCTGAAAAAGAAAATGAATCACAATCTCCAAAAATTCTGAAGGATCATGTGACAATGAAGACCGCAGTAATGGCAGCTGAAAATTCAGCTTTGCCACCACAAGAATAAATTACATTTTAAATACATAAAAACACAGTTTATGCGTATTGTATATACAGGTGCATCTCAATAAATTAGAATGTCGTGGAAAGCATACTTTCCAGAAGGCCAACAATTCATTAAAAATGTTTTTTTTTATTGGTCTTATGGAGTATTCTAATTTGTTGAGATAGTGAGTTGGTGGGTTTTTGTTAAATGTGAGCCAAAATCATCATAAATAAAAGAACCAAAGACTTAAACTACTTCAGTCTGTGTGCATTGAATTTATTTAATACACGAGTTTCACAATTTGAGTTGAATTACTGAAATAAATTAACTTTTCCACGACATTCTAATTTATTGAGATGCACCTGTATGTATATAGTTTATATGATATTTATATATGTGTGTGTACAGTTTATATGATATTTTACAACTTTACTATTTTTACTGTGTTTTTGTCTAAATAAATGCAGCCTTGGTGTGCATAAAGAGACTTCTTTCAAAAGCATTTCAAAATCTAACCAAAGTCAAATTTTTGAATGATAGTGTACATGTGCAAATGTTGTATCAATATCAAATATAAATGGAAATTTAACTGTACATGAATTTAAAATTTAAAATTGTGTTGTCTTGGCAAATATGCTCATTTCAACACAACTAAAACATAAAATGAGCAGTAAGAAAATCCGAAAAAGATCAACAGTTTATATGAATATAAATGTGCAATAAATATGCATGCAAAATACATAATTAGAACTCCTTCAAAACAACATCAAGCTTTTTATATTCTCCCAATAAAAACAGCTCAGTTCAGAAGGAGATCTCAAGGGAGGCTGTTGCTTTTTTTGTGGATATCAGGCTATAAAGCCTATTTTTACTTATATAATCAATCCATCATGCCAAAAAAACAGTGGGCAAAGGCAGGAAAAGATAATGTGAGAGGGGTGTTTTATCACACCATCCAGTTTCCACCTTCTACTGTCAATAGAACCCCAAACAACTGAAAAGAGTGACATATGGGACATATCTCCACGAGTGTTATCGCTGTTGCAAGAGTGTGTGTGCCCTGATATACTGCAGGTTTTGCTCTCTCATCACCTGAGTGGGGGAAAATGATAGCTAGTGAACACGCAGCTATTCATTATCTGAAGAGACAGGCATCAGACAGCAGAGCGTCATCTATTCACACGTTTCTGTCTGGACATGGTGTAGATTTGTGAGCGGCGAGCGTATATACAGCTGCTCCCTGCAGAGCTGCATATCCCAGAGAAAGAAAAAGACCTAGAAACAGCGCAAGGACACTGTTCAGCGACAAAGCGACTGTTTCTGATGACGCATACTTACTCATGACTTTTTTAAAAGCCTGTCTACCAGACCTCAAAACTAAATGACATCCCAGAAAGTCGGTCAAAGTTGGCAAAGGTTTACAAGCAGTGCATCTACAGATGTGATTCATTTAAATCAAGAGAAATAAAGAACCATTTATTCTCTTAAATGTGACCCTGGACCACAAAACCAGTCTTAAGTCGCTGGGGTATATTTGTAGCAATAGCCAAAAATATATTGCATGGGTCAAAATTATCGATTTTTCTTTTATGGCAAAACTCATTAGGATATTAAGTAAAGATCATGTTCCATGAAGATATTTTGTAAATTTCTTACTGTAAATATATTAAAACTTAATTTTTGATTAGTAATATGCATTGCTAAGAACTTCATTTGGACAACTTAAAAGGCTATTTTCACAATATTTAGATTTTATTTGTACCCTCAGATTCCAGATTTTCAAATAGTTGTATCTCGGCCAAATATTGTCCTATCCTAACAAACCATACATCAATAAAAGCTTATTTATTCAGCTTTCAGATGATGTATAAATCTCAATTTCGAAAAAATTGACCCTTATGACTGGTTTTGTGGTCTAGGGTCACAAATGTATTTGAGCATTCCAATTTTTCACCAAAGCTGTTAATGTGTCACAAATGACATTTGACAAATAGATTAAAAATGTGTAATCTGTTATCGAGGATCGCAGTGACACATTTTTGGCATAACAGCAATTACGGCAATCATAAATAACTCAAAATATGTGCAATTCATGTTTAACATCCATTTGTCAGCATATCAGTCATCTTTAAAATGGTTTGTTCTAGAACCACATGAAAGAACCACTAGTCAAAGTAACATTTACATTATAACCTACTTTTAATTATTTCCTTTTAACTTAAGCAAAGAGCTTAGACTAATACATAATTTAAATAAAACCTTTGAAGACTTTTTCCCTTTTAATAGCTTCACCTTTGCTGCCCATTTCCCTGAAACTGTGGTGCTGTATTTTAGTAACCACCCAAACAACTGAAGTGACAATGTTTTGGTGGGAAAAGTGCTGAATACATTTTAACATACTTTATCAAATGAGTCCATAACAATATACAAAGTAACAAATGAGATTTTATTAAAACACAGAAAAAATATCTTGACATCACGTTAAAAAATGATTAAGTTGAACTATTAAAGGCAGAGTAAGTGATTTTTCAAAAACACTTTAGAAAACTGATTCGGGCCGAATCGCAAAACAAACTTGTAGCCAATCAGCAATAATAATGCATGGAACGGACATTAGCCGAGCCGAGCGACAGAAAGATAGAGATGGCGGATAAATATCGGATCAGCTTTCCAGCGCTGGAGAGAACTCAAGGAGCGGAGGCCTGCGATCGGACGCCGAGGTTGCTTTGTTTCTTCTCAATAGGTGAGTAACACCGTGTCTACAACAGCTAAAGTCTGCCTACACTGGACGCGATCAAACGACCGTTGAAAACCATTTGAAATGTGTGTCAGCACGTCATAAATAGAACCCGGCAGCAGTTTTCTGTCGGGGATTTGTTGCGCCGCGCCGCTCACGTCCGTAGACCCGGTGTAACATTGGTTTTGCTTTGTTTCACAGAACTAATCGTTGCCTGGGTTGCGTACGTATATGTGGGGCGGAGCTATCAAAATAGGGGCAAGACCCTTTTGGGGTAGGGGCGTGTTTGTTTTGGTGATTTCAAATATCAACATTGGCTACCAGAAATCACTTACTCTGCCTTTAATTATAAAATGATTAAGTAGAGGTGTTCAAGCTTTTTCATGCCAAAGAGACTCAAACATGCCAATCCTTGTGTGAGGGACCACTTTAAATAACTATCTCAAATAACAATACATTTAATTAATTTGTAAAAATTCCCTCAAACTCTCCAGACACAAGTTTGGAACGCCTAATTTGAAAATAAAAATTAAACTATCAATTTTCTAAATGCATGTTATTGATCTTATTGCAAATGATTCATCAATGCATGTGTTTTATTTTTTTACATATTCTTTGACCTCATAATCTTCGGTCAAACTGACTTGATCCTCAGGCGATACGACAGACTTCTCTGGTGTCGTACTGTATGCCAGACTTCAAGCTCACATTCATTCGCCTTTGGTTTTGAGTGCAACTCCCACATCTCAGCCCTGTATATTTTCTTTTTCTATAATTTTTTACACTCACAATACGTCACAATACAAAAGAAAAGATCTGACCCTACTTCCATTTTATCCCAATTTTAAAGGACCAGACCTCGGACATTTATAAAAGAGAAAAACAGCATATCTATAGTCTTACCTGTTGTAAATGTCATCATCTTCACCTCCCCAACCCCAGTACTCATTAGGGAAGCCATTGATTTTGAGGAACTGTTTTTTGCTAAGGCCGGACACCCCTCCAAAGTACCCCGCATAGGGTAGCCTGCAAGAGGGAACAGACCCATATCATTCTTATTCAGATGACACACATTTTAAATATAAAGCCTTAAATCTGGGTGCAAAAGACCCTTTAATCATCAATAACATTTTATGCAGTAATATTACCTCAAATTGTCTATTCCTGTCTACGTCCATTTGGAATGTAGGGGGCTTTGGATTCCCATTAGATTTTCTTTTTGATTCAAGTCTACAGTGAAATATCGTTTTTGTAAGCCCTCTCTGAACTGAGCCCTTTAGTCAGTCAACTCAAGCATTCGAATTTAACAAAACTGCATCTCGTATGAGTGATTCTAGAGAGCCACAGAGTCCTCCCACAGGGGATCTAACATTTTCAAATGCTATCTGATCCTTCTCCCAACTCTCTTTCATCACTTTTCTCCTGGTTGCCACCCCTCAGGCCTCTCGGTTGAGCTACACAACTCAAAGAACGCCCTGTAAAAGCTTAAGTGCAGCATAAACCGTAGAATCCGTTTCTCATCATAGACGGTTCAGGAGGCCACTGTCAGATGAGAATTATCTGAGGAATCATCGTCTACAGGATTAAAGGCTGATATAAATATACATACTCCATTGCAGGTCAAAGGATGTTGTTGGTTGTCAGAACTAAGTCTTATATTTGACCTTTAAACCACAGAGCGATTACATCTCAAGCAAGTGTTCGAAGCCTTCAAACAAATGCTCTACTGGATGAATACAGTCTGGAAAAGCATCGAGTCCACTTAAAGCAGTTGAAAACATGGTTTCCATGTCTCCTCTTTTAAGAGGCCCGCTGGGCTGTGGGCTGGCAGGTGCATCATGGGTAGCCGCCCGGGGTTCGCCTTGGGCTATCGCGGTGTATGTTGCCAATGACAGCAACCACATCCACCCACGCAAACAAATGTGCGACATAAGGGAGAAAGAGAAGCAAAAACCTACATGAACGCACACGCACACACACAAACACACATCCACAAACAAGCGCTCGTGCATGCCACAACCACACGTTAAAAGGCAACAAGTTAAAATTAATGAGGCCATCTGCTACAGCAGCAGTCTTCACAAAAACAGTATGGCTGAAGTTTCTTCACACGCTCACGGTCTGAGAGTGTGTAATTCTCTAAAGGTGCTCCACTTATTAAATACAGCAACGTTAAGGCCTCCTCAGACTGAAGACACACGCCAATAGATGACTCACAGAGGAAACGGAATTATTAGCCCACTGACAGTTAAAGGCAGTTCACACTCTGGAGAAGGTCAGTGGCATTTGTTTAACAACGTATTGTCTGGCCTTCCAGAGAGAAATAAAAACCAAATTCAATAACTGTTCAAATTTGGCCACAGCACTAAGCAGGTGCTGTAGTAACCACATATATATATATATATAGACGGTGGGGGTCGGTGACGCGGTGGGCAAGTGACGTAACCGGTGTTGCGGCTTAACACCGGTATCACCGTCAGCACCGTCTATCGCGGTAAGCCTAATATATATACGTGTATATATATATATATATATATATAAATATATATATTATATAGACATTAGTACTACTAGTAATAATAATATAAAATAATTATATAATAGAATAAAAACAAAAATAATCATCATATTAATATATACTAGCTAATAACTATTTAATAACAATGTTATTCTTGTTGTTTATTGCTGTTTTTTTAAATAATAATGTCAATAATTTTGAGGATTATTTTTTAATCATGTTACAGTAACTATCATTAAATGTTTTACACATACCAACTGATTAGTAAACAATTATCTATTGGACTAATTTCCCAACACTGCTCATATCTTAAGATAGAGGCTGATTTTAACCAATTCCCTGAGGACGGCAGAGAGTTAAGATTGTCTTGGTCCTTTTGGCCCCTCACACAAAGACAGGAAATTAAACACCATGGAGCAAAGGCCAACTTGTCTGCTTGTCGACAGAAGACAGACAAAATTCATTCCAAGTTGGAAAAAAAAGAAGAAAAAAAAACCATAATACGGTGAACCTTCACCAGTGTTTTAATATCTCCAGCTATTACACTTGAAGAAAACCGGTCTGTCTCCTCTAAATAATTGTCTGCCTTGGAAAATGAATACATATGCTTGTCAAGGCTGCAGGTCTGTCTAGACTGGCACTGCACCTAACAAATGAACTTTTGATACATAATAATTCAGCTGTATTCTAGAGCTCCAGATGACAAAGCGTCATAAGACATATATCTTCCCTAGTGGAAAAAAGCAATTAATCATCAGAAGCACAGACTTTGACAGACAGCCCTCAAGCTCTGGCTGTTTGATTAACTGACTCTGTTCTCTGCAAAGAAATAAAGACAAATACAGACATGGCATCTATTAATATGTATATAAATAGCAACAAATGCAGCCCAGCATATTTGTAATAAAATCTGGCAAAGCCACAATTCTACAAGGATATTAAATTCATATAAAACATGCCACTGATTTCATTTTATTGCATTTTCTTCTGATTATTAATTTATCAAATGGGACCAGAATTATAAAAGTGAGACAAAATGTTATTTCAAATATAATGTGTCAACAGACTCCTGCACTTTGTGGTTCCCTCAATATTTAATATGTTACCTGAAGCCGAATTTGTCCATGGCAATGGCAAAATGACGGGGCTGGTCATAACAGTGGTACAGGTTCCGGTCATCCATAGGGATCAGGTCCACGTCACTGAAAATGAAGCAGTCGTATTCTGCGTCTTTAAGAGCCTCCGTGTAGCCAACATTGAGAAGCTTGGCCCGATTGAAGGTGTCCTCGCCAAGCTGAAACACAACAGAAAAAACAACAGCTTTACAATGTTACAAAATACATTTAAGATTACCCCAAAAAAAAGTCAATAGTAAAAATATTTCCAATTTGGTCTATATTTACACTGAATGGGATGCCATGTAACACCAAAACACTATGTGGTGTCTGAACTAATAATCCAGTGTGACAATAATCCCATGTAATCCTGTAATACCTGAGATTTGGCCCAATAAACCAAAGGTGTGAACTACTGTCACAAATCTACTGCCTTTTCAGCACAATGCCTGTGGATGTGCACTACAAAAGCATCACCAAAATGATTAAAGTATGCATATTACGTGAGGCTTTGAAGTGTCGCATTCACCACACAACCACATCTGTAAACAGTGATGAACGGCATTGGATGCAAAGAGATGCACCTCTCGAGCAAAAATCTTATTTTATGACACCAGTGCTAAAAAAGTAAGGAAAATAACTTAATACTAATTGACTTTTAGCTTCTATCAATATTTATCCTAACTTCAATTCTCTCAGAGGCCCAGAGGAGAAAGATTCTTCAATATAAGAGAGAAAGAGAAAGAGTGAGAGGGGGCAGATAAGGCAATATCTTTAAGAGACATAAAATAGCTTTTTTCATCAGCAAGGGTGCTCATTAAACATTACTGGGCTCATTTTCACTAATTTAACAAGATTTATTCCTCGTGTGGTGGCAGACAGCTCAGGCAAACACAGCAGTAGATGTCTGGTAATAACACACACCTCGCTAAAAATGACAGATTTATAACAGGGACATGCTCACGACTTAGCATCTCCCATCCAAGAAACGAGCTCCAAAACAGTAGATATGTGGACATCATGAACAGATGGTTTTGGAAGAAAAAACTCTAATTATTTTTAGAAAAAGGATCATCGGAACTAAGCATTCATCCTGAAGTTTCAGCTGTGAGGTGTTTGGCTTGTTTGGTACGGTTTCAACACACCATGAAGTGGGCTTGATTGTGAAACAGGTGTAGAACCCTCCCCTCATTAGCCTACTCGCACCTGTTCTAAGTCGTTAACCTCAACAGGGATAATGGCTCATCTGCGGAGTGTTATATCATCCTATTTTTGTGTTGTACATTACCAAAACCACAAGTGATGGACGTCTTGTGTACAGTTGCATACATATATTAAAGCATGGCAGGCTGTGTCACAGTGATTTTACCATGGTTAAAGGTGTTGTTGGACATAACTAAATCCCCCTTACACATTGTAACTATAAGAGAATTTGGTTATACTTTATTTTAAGGTGTCCTTGTTACAGTGTAATTATACATTTAAGTATTGAGTAAATCTAATTATCTACATGCACCTACTATATGGTAAGGGTTATGATTAGGGTTTGGCTTAGGGTTACCTGCATGTAATTATGCATAATCTATTGTTATTATAATAGTAAGTACATGTAACATGTGTAACAAGGACACCTTAAAATAAAGTGTTACCATGAATTTTTGTTTACATAAAATGTAAAAAGACACTGGTGTAAATAAATAATTAAATGTATTGATATTAATAATTACAGTTAACATTTTTTTCTAGTGGTCGACCGATATATCGGCCGATATTTGCCATTTTTCAAATATCGGCATCGGCCGATAAGTTTTTCTGTTTGGCCGATGCGTTCGAGGCGGCACTTTTATTTTGACGGCGCTGAGAACGGCAGCGCCTGAGCACACAGTGCTCACATTCTCCCTCTTGTTCGCTGTTGTTCTGTCTAATACGGATAAAAGTCTGTCTAATAATCAAATAGAATGGTTAAACAAAGGAATTAAAATGTATACAAAAAGTATTATAACATTGCTTTTATATTATTAGTAATAGAAAGGCAAACATTATAGTACTTTCTTGTTTGCTGTCAGCATTCAGCAAATATGCATTTATATCATTTAAACAAATCTTTGAATGACTATAATGAGCATTTAATTTCACAAACCTTGCAAACTTAGTCGGATCCAGTTGTGAGATTGTGTGTGAAGTGTGCATTTGTATCCTGCATGATCGCGTGTTCTCTGCGTGATGGTCGGTCCGTGCGAATTGAATGTGGACTGGAGGAGTTCAGCTTCGCGCGATCAAAAAACTTTAAACTCGTGATTTCAAATTATGCTGTGCTTTATGCATTTGCCCACTGCCATATTCATGTAATTTCCACTGTGTGCTGTATGTAAAAGGAGTGTTACCTTGGCTTTATATGAAAAAATATGATTCCCAATAAACACAAACTTCCCAGAATACTGAGTGCCCTGTTGGTTACAGCGTTTACTTCCTTTTTAATGATATTTTTATTAAATATTTATTTATTTGTGATATACTTTGTCATCTAAAGTATAAGTATGTTTATTTAACATATTTATTTTTGTATCCATTTTTAAATGATTTCAAATTTCTGAAATATCAATTAAAATAAATAAAATTATATCGGCTTTATATCGGCCACCGGCCACCCTGCTTTCCAAGATATCGGCATCGGCTGTCAAAAAACCAATAGGCTGTCAGTCGACCACTATTTTTTTCTGTTACTAGTTAAACTAGTGAAAGACAGATATATACTAATTTACTTAAATATGCTGATATAGATATAAATATGCTTAGTACATTTATTTTTATTATCAAGGTTGTGCTCCTTAATATTTTTGCGGAAATAGTGATTTTTCTTTTTCAGGATTCTCTAATGAATAAAATGTTCAAAAGAACACCATTTATTTGAATGTCACTTTAATGTCACTGCATCTTTGCTGAATATGAATATTTATTTCGGTAAAAAAAACCCTCACTCAAAATTTATTTCAAGGCTGTAAATAAAAACAATAATATTGTGAAATATTCTTACAATTTAGAATAACTGTTTTCTATTTTAATACATTTTTATATACTAATATATCTTAGAGACTAATTATACTTCAATATCATTCTAATATGCTGATTGGTGCATTTCCTTTCAGTGTTGGAAACTGCTGCTTAATATTTTTGTGGAAATTTGTTGGAAAATGTTCAAAAGAAGACAATTTAGTTGAAATAGAAATATTCTGTAACATTTTAAATAACATCTTAACATCTGTAACATCTTTATAGTCACGTTTGATCAATTTGCCCGAATAGAGGTATGCATTTCTTAAAAAAAAAAAATCGTACTGACTACTTTTGAATGGTAGTGTATATTAATCTAACAAACAATTGCTTTATTATTATAATTATTTAGTATGTGTACCTTATTTGACATTTAGACAGTAGATACTGGAATTAGCCATTGAGAAACCCATACTGGTTGACATGATAACATGGAAATACTATGGCATTCTCTGGAGTTCTTTGGAGGGCCATGTAAAAACCACTGTACATGAATATGGTTATATAAATTAGAGCCAACAGCGCTGTAACAGACTCATTGCAAGTTATCGCAAACGCTTGATTGCAGTTGTTGCTGCTAAGGGTGGCCCAACCAGTTATTAGGTTTAGGGGGCAAACACTTCTTCACACAGGGCCATGTAGTTTTGGATTTTGTTTTCCCTTAATAATAAAAACCTTCATTTAAAAACTGCATGTTGTGTTCACTTGTGTTATCTTCTACTAATATTTAAATTTGTTTGATGATCTGAAACATTAAAGTGTGACCCCTTTTTTTATACTCCCTAATATCGGTATCGGCCCCAAAAAACCCATATCGGTCGGGCTATAATATAAATCCTCATATAAAGTAAATATGAAGAGTGAACCTTCATTTACTCTGAAGGTTGTTCCTAATTGTAGTCAATGAGGCAGAGGAAAATCATACAGCTCGAGCTCAGTAAATAAAACAGCCTCCCTCTTTCCATCAGTAGCACACTAAGAAGTACAATGACTCTGTTTCTTAACCCAGACATAAACCACTCAGCTTGAGGTCTGAGAGTCACATCGGCCCCCAGCTAGAGTCTCCTTCTCCTTCTGTAAGCTTATCGCAGCCATATCAGTTGCTCAATACTTGCTCTCTGAGAAGCAATTAGCTGTATTTTTTTTATCTGATGATCACGCTGATAGCTAATCACAATCCCTTGCTCGCTCTAGGTCATGAGGCAGGATCCCTATAGCGGCACACTCAAGGCCAACCGGGGGAGTCTTACGCAGACCCCGTTGCTATGGAGACAGATTAGGACCAGGGCTCATCCTGAAAGATTGCATTGTGCATTTTCTTGTGCAGGTGTGTGTGTGTAAGCCTGCATTATCAGTCCCCAACAGGCTGACCATATCATCCAGCATGCTATCGATGCCAGAGCTGAAGGCTAGAGAAGGAGAGGGGACCAAAAAAAAAAGGAAAAAATCAGGAGTGAGCCGGATCGACCGGAGGCCCTCTGCGTGTCACCAGTGGACCTTTTGATCCAGAGCTTTACAAGTCTGAGCATGAAGTACAAGACCCAGAGCTCAAGGTAAGAAAATTCTTGCTTCTGGTGTCACACACAGGTAACTGGTATGGAAGTTACATTAGGGGTTTTCAAAATGAGGTCCAGGGACCTCAGTAAAAAAAAATAACAGTGACCCACTGTATATATATATATATATCAGGGCTTAAATTTCTCCGGCACCGGATCTCCGGCGTGCAGGGTCTTGCTGTGCAAAAAAATAATTCTACATTTTAAAAAAACTTGTTGATATCACTTTCGAGTCTATGAGTTCGACTACCAATGGTATGAGAGGAGCACAGCTTTCACTCTCAACCAAACTAACATTACTAGCCGATCAGAATGTTTTGCTCTCATAAACACGAGATGTGCATAATAGTATCCAATTGCAGAGTCGCAGCCCTGATGAATGGAGAAGCGCGACACGTTGAAAAAGCTGTGAGGCGCAATGGTCAAAGATGTCCATCCAGCGCATATTTACATAGAAAAACTAATTAAAAAGCAGCGGAGCTTTGTAAACAGCTCAGAGTAATCATGTCATCTCCATAAAAACGATATGATTGCCAGAACAAATTTACCGGGATTTTTGAAAAGGTCCTGTT